TGTTTTTCTAGGATTTCAGAAGGGACGTTAGGGACTTTTTGGGCTCGATTTTGGCGCTGTTCCGTCCTTCAGGGCCACTGTGTTTCCCTGTCCGGGAGGGTGCGTTTTCATCCTCGGGAGGAAGAGCAGCGGCACCAACAGGAGCAACAGGAGGGTTGTATGTCTCATTGTACAAACCGTGGTATAAAAATATTGTTTTCTAGGGTTTCAGAAGGGACGTTTGGGACTTTTTGGGCTCGATTTTGGCGCTGTTCCGTCCTTCAGGGCCACTGTGTTTCCCTGTCCGGGAGGGTGCGTTTTCAGCCTCGGGAGGAAGAGCAGCAGCAGCAACAGGAGCAACAGGAGGGTCAGCAACCAGCAGCAGCCGGCGTTAGGCAGCCAGCAGCAGCCAGCAGCAGCCAGCAGCAGCAGCAACAGCCAGCAGCAGGCAGGAGCAGGCAGCAGCCAGCAGCAGGCAGCAGTAGGTGTCTGGCAGGCAGCAAGCAGCAGGCAGCAGTAGGTGTCTGGCAGGCAGCATCCGGCAGCAGCAACCAGCAGCAGCCGGCGTTAGGCAGCCAGCAGCAGCCAGCAGCAGCCAGCAACAGCCAGCAGCAGGCAGGAGCAGGCAGCAACCAGCAGCAGGCAGGAGCAGCAGGCAGCAGCAGGCAGCAGGCAGCAGGATTCTATTTCAATTTAAATTAATTTTATGGCAACAACAGCAAGAGCAACAGCAACAGCAACAACAACAACAACAACAACAACAAAGACAACAAAGACAACAACAACAAAAACAACAAAGACAAGCAACAACGACAAACAACAACAACAACAACAACAACAACAACAACAAAGACAACAAAGACAACAAAGACAACAACAACAAAAACAACAAAGACAAGCAACAACGACAAACAACAACAACAACAACAACAACAATGACCCTTTGCCGGGGGACCCTGTTGGGTCCCCCTCCCACCGGTCACGTACGTCGATTCATTGACTCCGGGGTTTTTGTTTTACCGGTGGGGGGTTCTTCCCGGAGTCTCCTCGAGGTACGTGGGGCTCCTTGGGTTGCCCTTCCCGCCCTGATCTGTTCGTTCGAGGCCGCATCCTCGAGGTTCAAGTTCGATGGTAACTTTGTGCGAGATCTCGAACACCTTCAGGCGATAGAATCTCTCGAAAAATTGTGTTTTTCTAGGATTTCAGAAGGGACGTTAGGGACTTTTTGGGCTCGATTTTGGCGCTGTTCCGTCCTTCAGGGCCACTGTGTTTCCCTGTCCGGGAGGGTGCGTTTTCATCCTCGGGAGGAAGAGCAGCGGCACCAACAGGAGCAACAGGAGGGTTGTATGTCTCATTGTACAAACCGTGGTATAAAAATATTGTTTTTCTAGGGTTTCAGAAGGGACGTTAGGGACTTTTTGGGCTCGATTTTGGCGCTGTTCCGTCCTTCAGGGCCACTGTGTTTCCCCGTCCGGGAGGGTGCGTTTTCAGCTTCGGGAGGAAGAGCAGCAGCAGCAACAGGAGCAACAGGAGGGTTCTATGTCTCATTGTACAAACAATGGTATAAAAATTGGTTGAAAAGCATAAAACCTTGTCCAAAACTATTGCTTTTCTAGGGTTTCAGAAGGGACGTTAGGCACTTTTTGGGCTCGATTTTGGCGCTGTTCCGTCCTTCAGGGCCACTGTGTTTCCCCGTCCGGGAGGGTGCGTTTTCAGCCTCGGGAGGAAGAGCAGCAGCAGCAACAGGAGCAACAGGAGGGTTCTATGTCTCATTGTACAAATAGTGGCAAAAAATTTGGTTGAAAACTATGTACAAACAGTGGTATAAAAATTCGTTGAAAATTATAAAACCTTGTCCAAAACTATTGTTTTTCTAGGGTTTCAGAAGGGACGTTAGGCACTTTTTGGGTTCGATTTTGGCGCTGTTCCGTCCTTCAGGGCCACTGTGTTTTCCCGTCCGGGAGGGTGCGTTTTCAGCCTCGGGAGGA